AGTATTTCCCCTTCTTTATACTTTGGAATAAGACAACCATGAAAAATAGAGCTTAGCAAAAGAATGGGCATACGAAAAGAAAGGCTCTACTGTATCAGCATATCAACTGAATGCATGCAGTATGTTTGGCAGCATGAGGACATGCCTCTCTTTGCAAAATGTAATTTCATGGTTCAAGAGGAGAAGGTGCAATTTGCTCACCTGTACTTCACATCAACTTTTCTGACTCTGAACAAGTGCACAGGGTCAGATTTTTCTATCAGCCACCATTTACTTTAATGAATTGCCAATTTACACTCTTACAGCTACATGAGGAGAAATCTTGGCCCTGTGCACGTGCTCACCCTTCCCTTTCCGAGCAATGCAAAACCCCCTACATGCAAAGAACATTAATGGGAACCTTGCATTCCAACCAAGTGATCGGGAGGTGTGGGGACCTGAAGGCTACAAGGGTGGACAAGAAGCTGTGGCACGGGCAAGGTGGAAGTTGCTTATGTGGAATTTCTTTTGCTGGGAGTCTTTCCTGAGCGCTCCTAGAAAGCCTCAGGGAGGTGATCTCAAGCTTCTTATCTGGAAAGCTGAACAGGAGTGAAAAAGAGGCTTAGGTGAAAAAGCAGATGCAAATTTAGTCACTGATTTTCCATGCCAGGGAGAGATATCAGCCCATTTCTTTATAAAACAAAATGTCATTTCATCTCTCCCCATCCCAAAAAAATGGGAGGTGGGTGGGAAAAAGACCGGAGGAAAAGCAAATGGTTGTGGGGGACAAAAAATGATACAATGAAAGAGGGCAAAGAGTCAAAAACATTAAAATTGGAAATGGGGGGTGGAGAAGAGGATTGCTCGGGTTACAGAGCTCATACTAAAGAGGAAAGCAAGAGCCACGTGTGCATCCTGAGGTCCCCTCCAAAAGTCAAGGATTTCACTTCAGTCTCTGCAGCTGCCTGAACTCGAGGACTTTTCAAGGGACTGCCTCCCTGCGAGCATCAGTACCCAGGGAGTGGCTTTACAGAGAAGAAGAAATCAGAAAACTACTCTTCTGTGCTGTGGGCACTGCAGAATGGAAAAGGCTGGCTTCTAAGGCAGTGCTCCTCATAGCTTGGGCAACCTGCTCCAGCAGCCAGGGGGATGCCTGCCGGTGCGCAGCCCAGACGTGCTCCACATCCAGAAAATGGCTGCTTCTGCCCTCAGTTTGGGCACATGGGGTGCCTTCTGCTCTGTCTGGCACAGGCTGCTGCTGCTCAGCCACAAAATGCTCATCCACCCAGCAGTGATGGGATTTGTTCCCTCCCCACTGAAATTGCACGTGCCCTCTTACACCCTGCCTTGCTCAGCACTTCTCTGGATACCAAGGCAGCTCTAGGGTTGGTATTTTCTTTTTCCTTTCCAAGCTCCTGACTTGGGGGCAGCAGCTTACTGCATTATTTATGATGCTGCAGTGCGAAGGCCAGGAGTAAGGGAGGTTTGCATTCCAAGAGAGCCATTTTTTTTCCCAAGAAAAGTAAGCACAATCCTAATGCCCAGAAAGATTGCATTTTATACCACAGACAATTAATTTCCATGTTATGTGGTATGTATTAACACCTTATTTCTACTTATTCCCCTGTAATAGCAATGCAAAATAATGACTGACCCCTGCAAGAAAACAGCAAAGTTTTGTATATTTTCCTTATGTTTATCCTATGTGGATGGAGTTGAGCATTTGTAAAGCCTCAATGAACACCCACTGAATTACTTGGGATTATGAATATTTCATCCTTTTTTTTTTTTTCCCAAATACTTCCCCAGCTTTATTGACCATGATCAAGCTTCTCTCGGAGTAAGTGTCCTCAGAGCCTCTTAAGAGTTTTGGGCCACTGAAGAGCAAATCTGAAAATAAGACTGCAAATACAACTGAAGGCTCAAGGATTGTACAGCCCGCTGCCTGGACGCCTGCAGGCTTCATCCCTTGATGCCAGCACCATTTCACACTCCATGACTGCTGCACAGTCCATTTAAACCAGAAGGGTGTGAAACTTTCAGCTTTAGCTCCCCACTGGCTTGAAGTACTCTTACCATTTTACAAGACAGAAACCAAGGCAAAAACATTGAAGTCAAATGTAATTGGGATGTCCACCTGTAGTGATTTAAGTCTTCTTTTTTAAGAGTATTTGTTACTATATGTTCTTTGTATTTCAGCCCAAGCCTCAGCTCAATTTTGCTACAGCTACAAGGTCTCAACCCTCCTTCAGGTCAGCCTCCTTGCTGCACACACAGCTGTGCCAGGAGAGCTGATGGTGGTGGGGAAGGAAACTGCCAGCAGCCGAAAACTTCTTAAGCTGCTTTAGGGAACCCTGGCTTGAGACCTTCTAAAATTGAAGACATCCCTACTGATCACATGCAGTATAATGCATTTTGCTCAAAGGACCCTAAAGCTATGCCTACACCCCTGGAAAAAGCTGGGCTTGGAAATGAGCTTAAGCGCTGGGGTGCTAATTGCCCATTATGCTTAACTGCAAGCATGTGTCCTGGAAAAGGTTTGGCTCGTGCCAGCTAGCGCTGCCCCAGACCGTGTCCAGCTCAGATGGTGCCTGTGCAGCTCATTCCAGTGGGCAGCCTGCACCAGGCAAACATCACATCAGCCTCCCTCCCTTCCCCTTCCCCTGCCCAGCATCATCTTTTTTCAGCACCCTCAGACTCCCCAGGGCACGGAGTACATGTTCTCAGCTTCATACTATGAAAACATCACTCCACTCTTTTCTTTTTTTCTTTTTTTTTTTTTTCAGGAGAAGGAACAGCCAACAAAAAAAGCACAAGCATGCTAACGGTTGCTTTGTAAGGTGGACGTGGCCAGGTCTTGGCACTTGCCCAGAGAGCAGACCTTCACTTGTTTTATTTCGTGTTACAAACATAGCCCAGCTGCAGGAATATGGTTTTACCTTCACAGGGATGGCAGAAGGCACACTTGTGATGCTAAGGCCACCATCCTGCTG